GGGCCCGGGCTGGGGATTTGAACCCGCCACCTTAGGTGTATGTGGCTGGCGCCTTAGCCGCTTGAGCCACAGGCGCCAAGCCTGTTTTTTAATTTTTTAAAGTTAAGGTCTTGCTCTATTACTCGGGCTAGAGTGCACTGGTGTGATTTTAGCTCACTGCAGCTCCCAAGTCCTGGGCTCAAGCCATTTTGATTAAAGTTTATTGGTACTAGACTTTGTTTTTGTTCTTTTATAAATGTCTTTGTTTCATCTTTGTTAGTGAAACATTTTTACTGGCTTATTGTCAAATTTAAAGTTAAGAATTCTTTTCTCGGGCGGTGCCTGTGGCTCAAAGGAGTAGGGTGCTGGCCCCATATGCCAGAGGTGGCAGGTTCAAACCCCGCCCTGGACAGAAGAAAAAAAAAAAGAAAAAAAAAAAGAGCAAGTCTTTTCTCTTAGCCCCTAGAAGATGATTTTTTCACTGTCTTCTTGCTTAAATTGTTGCTGGGGAAAAGACTGCTGTTCTGTTAACACTTATTCCTTCAAAGGTAATCTGTTGTGTCTGACTATAAAGATCTTTTTTTTGATATTCTAAAGCTTTACTACAATATGTCTAGATGTGGATTTCTCTTTATTTAAAACATTGTATCTCCTTCATTCTTTTTCTTCCTGGGGATCTGATTATATATATATTTATAGGTTAGACTTTCCAATTCTACCATTCTATCCTCTTTATCTCTGTCTTTTTTTTAAATCACCCTTGGTAGAGTGCTGTGGCCTCACATAGCTCACAGCAACCTCCAGCTCCTGGGTTTAGGTGATTCTATTGCCTCAGCTTCCTGAGTAGCTGGGACTACAGGGGCCCGCCACAATGCCTGACTATTTTTTTGTTGTAGTTTGGCCAGGGCCGGGTTTGAACCCACCACCCTTGGTATATGAGGCTGGTGCCCTACTCACTGAGCCACAGGCGCTGCCCGTGTCTGTGGGGTTTTTTTATTTTTTTATTTTTTTGAGACAGAGTCTCTCCTTATTACGAGGCTTAAGTATAGTGACATCATCATCACTTACTACAACCTCAAACTCTGGCCTCAAGTGATCCTCCTGCCTCAGCCTCCAGAGTAGCTGGGACTTGCAGGCTTGCACCACCATACACAGCTGATTTTTCTATTTGTATAGATGGTAGTCTCTCTCTTGCTTAGCTGGTCCAGAACTCCTGAGCTGAATTCTCCTGCCGCAACCTTCCAGAGTGCTAGGATTATAAGCATGAGCCACTATGCCTGGCCTGTTCTCTCATTTTATTAAAATAAGCATGTAATCAGATGAGAAAAGAAACACTTATCCTAATCTGAACAATTAGGTGACCAGAGGAATGTTAGCTCCCCTGCAGAAGTGCAATTCTCTAGGGTGCTAATGCCATAAAGAATTCACTTAACCAGTGGACTCTGCTGGAAGCAGCTGAGGTCCATGAGATTTGCCAGGTGTGGGGAGCTAGCTGCCATCAATGCTCCTTGTCCTTTTAGGTTGGCTACTGCTTGATACTGTGTGGGGCATATTGTTAGCCTGTGCTCAGTGCATTGTTTGCCTCTGGTCACTCTACTATGAAAATGTTCTCTTTTGCTAAATAGAAAGCATAAAGCACTGGTCTAGACCAGTGCTATCTTGTAAAAATATAATGCATGTCACAAATGTGAGCCAGTTAAATAATTTTAAATTTTCTAGTAGCTACATTTAAAAAGTAAGTAGAAACAGGTGAAATAAATTTAATAATATATTGAACTACTACATCTAAAATATTATTTTAACATATAATCAATAAAATGGTAATGATACACTTAAAATTTTCTCCAATAATGAAATATTTGAAGCCTGGTATGTATTTTATGCATTTCAGTTTAGATTATACCTAAACTGAGAATAGCCATGTTTCAGGTGCTTCTACTATAGTGTGACTACTACATGGCTATTACATTAGACAGCAAAGGTCATCACTGTTTGCTCGGTTTTTCTTTGCAATCCACTCCCTACACCCTGCACTGTTGTATTGTTAAGAATTTAGGCAACTGTAATAGGTTGAATTGGGGTATGTAATCTTTCCAAAATCACATCACAAGAAAAGAAAGATCCTTTCTTAAAGCATGTCTTTCTAGTCTCATATAAGGTACCTGACAATCCTTAGTGGATATAAGTAGATATTTTGAGGGAAGAATTTATTTTTAAATGGAGTAATAATTTCACATTCATCTTACCATTCCTTACTGAGTAGAGTTTATTTTTGTGCCTTTGTGGGTTTTTTTGTTACTGTTTTTTTGAGACAGAGTCTCACTTTGTCACCCTCAGTAGAGTGCTATGGCATCTTAGCTCACAGCAGCCTCAAACTCCTGGGCTCAAGTGATTCTCTTGCCTCAGCCTCCTGAGTAGCTGAGACTATGGGTGCCTGCCACAATGCCTGGCCATTTTTAGAGATGGGGTCTCGCCCTGGTCAAACCTATGAGCTCAGGCAATCTACCTGCCTCAGCCTCTGAGAGTGCTAGGATTACAAGTATGAGCCACTGCGCCCGGCCTTTGTTTTTGTTTTAATTCCTTTTCCATTTTCTTTAAAAAAATTTAACTTTTTTTTTTTTTTTTTTTTTTGAGACAGAGTCTCAACTATGTCGCTCTTGGTAGCACAGGAACCTCAAACTCTTGGGCTCAAGCAATTCTCTTGCCTTAGCCTCCCAAATAGCTGGGACTAGCCAACCCACCATAATGCCTGGCTATTTTTTGGTTGCAGTTGTCATTGTTGTTGAGCAGGCCCGGGCCAGGCTTGAACCCGCCAGCCTCTGTGTATGTGGTCAGTGTCCTATTTATTGAGCTGCAGGCGCCAAGCCAAAATTTAACTTTTTATTGTAGAAAACTTCAAATGTATTTGCTAAGAGACGAGCATAGTGAACCCCTAGGTATCATCACTAATATTCAACCAATAACTCACGGACAGTTTTGTTTCATCTGTACCAGTATCTATGGCTTATCTTTCTCCTCTGTTCTCCAGTTATTTTGAATTAAATCTTAATGTGTTATTAACACCTCATTTGTATCAGAACATGTTTTAAAAACCACATTATCATCACTTTAAAAAATTATCTCACTTAAAATAGCTAATATTCAAATTTCCCCAGTCATCTCAAATGATTTTTATGGTTCAAATTAAAATCCATATAAGGTCCATGCATATGTTTTTTGCTTTTTTTTTTAATTTATAGATTTTTCCCTACATCTTTGCCTTGGCTCCTGCAGTTTATTTTTGGAAGAAACTGAATCATTGGTCATGTAGATTGTCCTATAGTCCAGGTTTTGGTGATTGTATCCTATGGTGTGGCTAAACTTTCTTTTGATATATTCCTCATAAATGTGTAATTATATGGGGAAGGCTTGATCAGATTTCAGTTAGATTTCTTTTCTTTTCTTTTTTTTGAGACAGAGTCTTACTTTGTCACCCTCAGTAGAGTGCTGTTGTGTGACACCTCACAGCAACCTCCAGCTCTTGGGCTAAAGCAATTCTCTTGCCTCAGCCTCCCAAATAGCTGGGACTATAGGTGCCTGCTACAACGCCTGGCTATTTTATCTTGTAGTTTGGCAGGGGCTGGGTTCGAACCCACCACCCTTGGTATGGGGCCAGTACCCTACCCACTGAGCCACAGGGCTGCCCAATGTTTTTTTTTTTTT